CCCTGGGATTCCTCAGACAGGATACTGGATTCCCTGGGATTCCTCAGACAGTAGATACCAGGAAACCAGCTCAAGGACAGACAGAACAACTTAAGTAGAAGGAAAAGTTAAATTCCGAAACCAAATGTTTTCTTGCTCAGAAGACATGGAAGTCAGTTTTACTTTTTTCTTTCTTATTTTAATTCAAAGCCAGACCTTTTTCTGATCATCTCCTATAGGCAAAATGTAAGTTCCCATTTTCGTCTTGCATTCTACAACCCAAGGATATGAAGAAGTATTTTTTATTCTCTAAACAAACTACTTCGTTAGTTGAACTTACTTTAATTTCAAGCAGAAGAAAAAAAAACAGAATAACTAGAAATTAAAGAAGAGAAAGGTTTTAAAGTTAAGGGCATTACAGATTTTATCAAATATTCTTTAAATTGTTTTTATTAAATATTGAAATGATACAAAGGAATATTTATTACATATGTTAATATACAAAAAATGATATTATACACATCCAGGCCCCCATCATTTAGCTTAAAAAACAAAACAATCGGAATTTTTGAAGCCCTTGAGGATGCGCTCCTGACACTGTTCTACTCCCCATCCCAGCCCCATCCAGAGGTAATCCCCATCCTCAATTCTGGGTATATCATTCTCTGGTTTGTTTGTTTTTTTCATGAGTTTATCGCATTTGAATCTTTAAACAATATATTGTTTGTATCTGAATGTTTGGAGACTTCATATAAATGGAACCGTGCCGTATTTATTCTGCAACTTGCCCAAACGTTGTTGCTGTGACCTGACAGTGCCCGTGTGAGCCCCACGGTGCTTTCTGCTCTGCGGGGTCCACGGCGTGAACCTCCTACCACTATTCATCCAGTCTACTGCTGACGGACGTTTGTGTTATTCCCAGTTCCTCCGTCTTTACCAACAGTGCTGCTATTCTTGTCCATGTCTCTTTGTGCACATGTGTGATGCTGCTTAAGATTTATACCTAACATGGGAATGGTTGGTTCGACACGCAGCTTTAATTTTACCAAGTGATGCTGTGGTTTTCCAGAGCAGCCATATATGCGATTCCCATTCCTGACAGCCTTGTTTAGAGTTTTCAGATTTCTGATTTTCATTAATCCACAGGGTACTATGATTCTAATTTTTATTTCTCAGATTAGTCATGAGATTGCATCTATTTCTTCAGTCCTTTTCTCTGAGTTGACGGTTTAAATATTTGGCCCAATTTGGTCAAATACTTGACTGTTTAAGTAATTTGCAATTATTTCATTAGATTGATATTTAAGTAACATTTTGTGTCCATTATAATCATACATCTTATCATGTTTCTACCGGAATGTTTGTCTTTCACTAGACTTGTAGGAATTGTTTATAAAAGTCCATATTAATTCTTTATCTGCTATATCTATGCAAATGGCTTCTCCCTGTTTGTGGCTTGGCTTTTCACTTTCTTT